AGCTTGTTTGATTGTTTTTTTTTTCTCCAGATGCAACCGTCATGTTTTCCACCGGCCCAATGGCTTTATCAGCCCTTTTGAACATGTTCAGACGCTCTCCGTCTTTCAGTCTTGCCCCCGGAATGCCTGCGTTTGGCCCAGTTCGCATTCTTCCCCCCAAACTGTATGGCAAAAATCTAGCTGCTCCTCAACCAAGTCCCGGTCCATATTTCACACACTATTATGGCTCTAGCTGGCACACAGATGGTGCTGGCCCAGTGCTATGGCTTGGTAAATTTGGAATATTCTGGCTGTATGGTGGAATCGTTGTGGTCCTTTTCTGCGCAGCGCGTGCTGCTGTCAGGCATTGGCGAAGCAAGTCAACCGCTAGCGAATCTCAGCTTGCATCCACCTGGTCTGCCGCCTCATCGCCTATCAAATCTCGTGGTTCTGCCGGCACGCTTTGGAAGCGTCGACTTATGAAAGTCAGAAGAGCTGAGGGAAGACTGGCCGACGTACTCTTGCTGCCCAGTCATTTGCTTGAAAAAGCCACCACTCACTCTTCAAAGCTTCCGTCTCGCTCGTTACGGGCTCATCATCAGAAGGATTGCATGCAATGTAAATCTTGTACAATCAATCAAGGGCTTCTCGATTCAAGCCACCAGCTTCCTCTCTATGAACCCCGCCCCTTGCATTGTCTAGCCTCTGGAAGAAGTACGCAATGATAGCTCTGTTCGATTCATCTCCGAGCGTTTTGCTTACTGTTACTACTGATTCTGCCACAGGACCCCAGCGAAAATCACCTCGGAACGACAGTGGTCCTGAGGACGAAGATTGGGAAGAAATTGACGAAGACACCGCGCTTCTTTCGTCCACCAGCACGTCAGATTTCCTGTCCAACCCAACGCCTGTATTGCTTCCTTCGACCCCCACATTCTATCGCAATCCCAACCTCCCCTCAACTGGATTTCCCTCTTTACGAGTCGAAGCAAATGAAGAAGTCGCCCCTGGACTTCCATCGCCTCTGCTCAACGCCATCTATCGATTGGCGGAGATGGCTGGTATTGTCAGTGAAAACGGTCAACGTAGTGACCTCACCTCCAACTTTCCTGCTCGTCCTGAAGACAATCCTTTTATTCGCAAGGTGGACTGAACCCCTCAACATCAGTCATTGAGTGAAGAGGGAAGCCGAGCAACATGGTTCCGATGTTTGCAACATTTTTGACTTGCCCGAGAGTAAAGTTTTCGTTATTTTTTATTGGCCTGTGTATGTACTGTAGTATTCCAAGAGAAGCAACGAATGGGGCCAAGGATATGATGTCAACAACTCAACCATGGTTCTACCATGATTTCAGATTGAGAGAAACAATGCTCTTGACTACAAATCATTTTGTTCTTTATAATCCAAAAAACCCCTCAACTCTACTTATTTGTTTTGCTTTCTGAAATAATCATGAGACATTCCATCAATTCATCCTTACCTGCTCAAGAACCAAGACTTTAACTATGGCTTTGCCCAACTATTCCAAACACACTTCTCGTCTTTTTACTGGCAACATTGCCATCATTGTTTTTAATTTAGGGCCTGTACCATAGGAGTCAAAAAACCGTTTTTTTGCTCCAAAATCATTTTTCTTTTCAGAAAAACATTTATGCACAAAAATGTGTACCATAGTGCCCATTTTTTGGCAAATCAAATAATCAATTTTTCCCACAAACCATCATTTTGGAAAAACGGCTCTGGCCCTGTTTTTTCGAGCCATTTTTCCTCAAGGTCCCCCATCACTACTGCTCAGTCATCTGTTCATATCAACAGATATCAACTCCGCACATACTACACTCATCATCATTGACATCATGAATTTCATTGACCCCGCGTTTCTCACAGGAGACATCCTTCCCCCTGCTCTACCCTCTTCACCCTCACCTCCACCTGCACCTGCAACTGTTCCAATGCCCACATCAAACAAAACCTCAGCAACCAAGACCAAGCCCAAAGCAACTCCAAAGCCTACCGTTTCCGCTCAACCAAGTAAAGATGCTCCAAAGCCAAAACTTTCTGCTCCACCAAAAAAAGAGAAGGTCGACTCAAAACCCAACCACATCTGGACCAACGACCAAAGAAGTTCCTTACTTGAGTTGATTGCATCGCAGAATGCCGCCGGTCACGCAACTGATAATGGAAACCTCAAAAAAGAAGGGTGGTCAGCTGTAATCAAGAAGCTTAACTTGAAGCATGGACTCGATCTAACCTCAGAACAAGTGAAGAACCAAAAAAACCAGCTTCGGAAATTGTTTGTCGACTACCAATTCCTCCGAAACCAGAGCGGATTTGGATGGGATGAAGATATATCTACTGTGACCGCTGATGAAACCGTATGGGACGAACTATTTGATGCTCATCCTCGACGTGAATTCTCCAAATTGAAGGACAAACCTTTTCCATTGTACGATCTTGCCCTCAGTGTCTTTGATGGAACGGCTGCATCAGGCGAAACTGCACAATCACATCTTTTTCCAGCTACAACCGATGCAGTCAAATTACCACCTCCCTCAAAGAGAAAGATCGTGACTCTTAAAAGTGACGATGAGGACGAAAGTGACATTGAGATTGACCCCACAACATCTCTCAAGACTGCCACCTCAAACGCCACCACTCCCAAACGTGTACGCGAATCAAAAAACTCGGTTATTAGATCTGAAATGGAAGGTATCAATGGTGCCATCAGTGCCGTCTCTGAAAACTCAAAGGAGCTCATGGGTGCTTTCTCAAAGATCGCCTCAGCAATCTCAAAAAGCGAACCGAAAGAGGCGACACAACCAATCAATTTAGATTCGACCAACTCGGCTAACAACTCAAGCTTTGTTCCTTCCGAGCCTTTCCTATCAACCATTTCAATTTCGGAAAAAGCACTCGATCTCTGTGCTGAGAAGTTTCTTGGACATGTGGCCGACGAAACATATGTTGAATTCATATCCATCTTAGAAAATGAGACCAAGGCCCGCACTTTCCTTGCACTCAGCCGTAATTCAAACAATCACATCTGTCAAATATGGCTGGAGAAGGAAGTGGGCAAAGGAAAATAGGATTTGTTTCAAATCCTGCCATTGGGTGAGTTGTTCAGATCCGTCTTTACTGTGTTGATCTGCCTTAATCTGATGTTTAAAGATCCTCTTCATTTTCATTTGATCTCTAGCTTATCTCGCAACTTTCAACTATCTTGCTCTATCTTGCTCTTTCTTGGAACGGTCCCACGTGTCGGTCTCGCCCTCACCTGAAACGGTCTTGCTCTCACTTTAAACTGTCTCGCTATGGCTTATAACTCTCACTTCAAACGGCCTCGCTTCAATCGATCTCGCTTCAATTGATCTCGCTTGAAACGTCCTCGCTTCAATCGATCTCGCTTTCAAACGATCTTTGCTTCAAACAGCCTCGCTTCAAACAGCCTCGCTTCAAACGGCCTCGATTCAAACGGTTTGGCTTGGAACGGTGCCATTTCTTACTTTTACCTGTTATCTTCTTGATCAATGTTGCTTGGAACGGTGCCATTTGAAGACATACCGTGTTACTGTGTACAACCCACGCCGAAATTTGACTGCTGTCTGTCGCATGGCATTGTTGTGACAAACAATGTCTAAGAATATTAAAACTTGTTCTTCTACACAGACCGATCGACCATCTTTTAGGAGTCGATTGAACTTCAATTCCTCAACTAGACTGTTGAAAGTTGAACGTTCCATCCGAGTGATCTCACGGAAAAGCTCAGGTCTGACTTCGTTCAGTAAAAATCGAGTGTACCTAGCTTGCCCTCCATCGCCATAGTAGGGCTCGTATGTGTTCCACATCTTTCCAAGGTAGGTGATGGCCGCTCCAGCAGCAGCAATAGATATTATAGTGTTGTTGAGTTGTACGAGGGAAGCTCCGGCAGCTGCAAGCATTGCAAGTAAGTTGTTGTCCATGGTAGGTTGTTTGAGGTGTTGTAGGCTAGTATGAGACGAGTGAAAGTAAGTGAATTGAGTGGCAAGGGAGGGAGGATTCGAGGAATGGATGTCCATCATAGTCCTTCATGGTACATGTTATTCAAATTTGGTTTTTCCAAAAACAAAAAATCAGAAAAACAAAAAAGTGCAAAAAACAAAATGATTTTTTGGCCGTCAAAAAAACTGAATTCCTATGGTACAGGCCCTTAATTTTTTGTTTCAAGTTTTTTAATTCATATTGAAATCATTCATCGAATTTTACCATGCATTGAACATGTGGCCATTGACTGTTTGACCAGCTTTGAATATTAACTTAATCCAATCATTTAAACCCTTTGTGTTCATATTTCACTGTCATAAGTAATATGGCATGCGTGGATTTTGATGCTGGTAGCAATTACATTAAATTGTTCACTTGAGTGTTTTTGTGTTTTAATGCTAGCATAAAAACATAGAGATTGCACTTCCGATGGATTAAGAAGAGGAAATTGTGAGTTTTGTTATGATCATACTTCTGGTCGGTGTGTGTCTCGGATCCACACAAGGGCGCACGAACTCAACTCCACTCTGGAGACACGAGCTCCACTCAACCACACCTCCACCCAACCCAAACACCCACCAAAACAAAAAACGAACCACTCAGACACTCACCAACCCGCTGTAAAAACGTCTCGTCGATCGAAGGGCCAAAAACGACCGCCGAATAACGCTGATTCCGGTAGACTGTACAATCGTTTTTGCAATCGAGAGGCGTAAGGAGATCAGGTCAGTTTTTTTTTTCCTGAATGTTTTTTTCTAGAAAGAGGTTCCGATACTGACCCTCTTTTGTTCTGTTTCCATAGGTTGTAGCTGTGTGAGCGTGATTGAATAGCATAGGTCGGTCAGCCTTCAAAACCAAGAACGCAGGTACGTTTTTCGTTCTTTCCTCCTCTCTTTTTCGTTCTTTCCTTCACTATTATAAGAACGGGCCGAGCTGACTCCCTTTTTTGTCCTGTTTTAAACGGCTGTACATTCAATTCCCCAATTGTCGCTTGTACGAACGCAGGTACGTTCGTCTCTCTTTCATCTTCCCTTCACTATAACAAGGGGTTAGGGGGCTTCTTCCTTTCTATTATATGTCACCACCATTTTTTCTAATCGTCCAAAAACGTTATCCTAAAATCTACCTCGCATACTCAGCACACCTAACCTTCCTCATCCCTTCCCAACTCCCATTTTGCAATTAAACAGAGCACTAGCCCCGCTCTTCTCCTCCCACTCTCCCCTCTAACCTCTCTATCGCACACCCATCTCATAAACCAATGCCAAACCCCCTGCTCCCGCAGGGCGGAGGCCCAGCGACCGGAAACAACATGTCTAATATAGACATGTATGTTACCGAGGGCTCATTGCCCAATGTCGAAAACCAGTTAGCGGACAAGGTCAGCATGCTGCTAGACACTTTGATTCCCCGCTTAGAAAGTCTCGAACGAGCGGTCTCCGGACAAGTCTCTAAGACCTCCGGAGCAACCCGTGCAGATTCTTTCAATACCCTCCTAGTGAGGATTGAGGAAATCGCGGCAAATATGGCCAGATTAGAAAAGAAGGTTGAGACTTTGTCTCCTCCGACTTCCTCTAACATGATGGACCAAACTGCCGCGAGACCAGGTATTTTGCCAACCAGGCCAGTTCCTCTCTACTCAGAGAAAGCAGCTAGGGCACCAAACCCCGGCTTGCCAAAGAACTTACCGCCGGTCCCCCCCACCTCGTACATCAACAGATTTAAGCTAGGACAAGTGGTGATCAGGAAAAAGTTTGATCAACCAAAGCCTTTCGCGGGTCTTACAGCGGCAACCATTTGCCAAAAAATCAATGAAGCACTGTCTTTTGCAAAAGCCAGCGTCGACAATGAACTTATAAAGGTAAAGGCGGTAGCCCAGTTCCCAAATGGGGACGTCAAAATTTTCACTAAAGACCGAAGAGCTGCTAAATGGCTCCTCGATAATAAACATTTGTGGACTGAAAAGGCTGATCCGGTCTTTGTCACCTCACAAGTCGCTCACCCAGTTCTTCTACACTCATGCCCTACCAGCTTCGAAGTAG